CAGTTTGATTCATCAATTTTTAGCCAGTTCACTAGTTTGATGCTGGTTCTTGTTCGGGTTCGGTTTTGTGTGTGTTTCGGATTGGATTAGGCACCGGTTCACAGTTAAACCAGTTCGACCAGCCAGTTTGGTCCGATTTTATAACAATGATAAAATCTTATATTAGAGTAAAAACAAGTTAGGAAATCATAGGATACCTCAGAGAAATGAAAGAAATCAAAAACAATTGAAAAACAACTTATTTGTTCCAGAACAGGGCAATGCACTGTGGCTTGTGCACGCCACGCCGTAGAGTGTTGTTCTCTATGCCAGGTGCCGTGGCTCAGGCGCCAATGCACCACGACATGTTGCACATTTTCTTGAAAGCAGATTATGCTGTCATTTAATAGCAGAATCAGGGAACTTCTGATTAGGAAAAATAATAGATTAGGAAAAATAAAAATAGTTATACATTTAAAAATTTTATAACCACTGATCAATCTTTTCAAAATAAAACAAAACCATTTTTGATACTACTAAATCCTTTTTAAAATTGAAAACATGATAAACACAATAGATTAGGAAAAATAAAAATAGTTATACATTTAAAAATCTTATAACTACCGATCAATCTTTCCAAAATAAAACAAAACCATTTTTGATACTACTAATATCTAAAACTATAGTAAAGTTATAATCACCTAACATAATTTATATCAATAAATCAAATATAAAAGCAGTTAACAATTGACTCAAGTTTTGCACAATACAATAGTTCAAGTAAATTTTTAACCTCTTACATGTCATTAGGCTAAAATCACATCTTTCCAATATTATGCTCCCAACAAGTGCAAACCATAAACCAACAATCAAAATAAACAATTTAATCAATTTTCAAAATAAGCTAGTGATATGATCTTATAATTATATCATTTCAAACCATCCAAAATAGACCAAACATCAAGGTTACAGTCATCCAAAATGTACTGAAAGCAGAAGCAGTTTGAAAGGCATGATTATATTATTACATTCATATAATTGTTACTAAATAAAAAATCCTAGCATTGGCAATACAACATATTAAAAATTATAAATGCATAAAATACTCAAAAGAGACAATAGAATTACACTACTAAGCCTCAGAGGTTCCTCCACATGTCACTCGTGGCTCCTCTCCTAAAAATTGTTAACCATACAATGAGACTCAAAAATCTCAATAACCAATGTCAATTTATGATAATATATATAAATAGCTAAATGTGTACTTGCTAAGTAGGAAAACAACAATCATATAATTCCAATAAAAATACAAGAAATATTGTAATGCATAACAAACAACCATCCTTATCTTCCTCAATTAACCTTGATCTGTAGCCCTCACTTAGTATTAAATTATCTTGCCAAAGGTAGATTAGCCTGAGTTCTTATAAGCCATCTATCGAGCTCCAATAGGGACGTATCATGTGGCACAAAAATATAATAATGAGAAGAAGTCTCCCAATGTCTCCCACAAGAATCAAACAATTACATATCAACATTGTATGATTACACAACATTAAAATATTCACAATCTTCTCATTTTAACAATATTATAATATGACATCCCACTTGACAAAAGTACTTCAAAATACAATTTCAGAATTTTACTTTTTCCAAAAACATAACAAAATAATTTTCAACAAAAATGCACAATTTTCTCAATAATAACACAATTAATATGAAGCAACACTAATTATAAATTAAAGTATGGTTATCTCGTGGTCTTTTCAATAAACTATCCCTAACAATTTCTCCTCTATCACGATCTTTATCAACAATACAATTTACACATAACATATTATTTATAAATATTACGTTCAATTATTGAAACTAATAAAATAATTTTAATAATAGAATTAGAGAATATAACATAATTTTTAATATTTTTATTAATACAAACTTAAAGTTAGTACTAATGTTTTAAAAGTCAAACTAGATATTGAACTAAAAATATTAACGGGTTATGATTTTTATGGTTCAACCGGTTAAATTAAAGGTCAAACAGGTAACATAATTATTAAATATAAAATAATATTATATGCATATATAATATCTATAAGAAATTAAATATTGAATGGTTAAATAATTTCCTAAAAAAACAAATAGTTTAATTTCATACTATGATTCAATTAATTATAATTAAATTATTGTAATTAACTTTTTTAACTTTTTAAAAGATAAAATAATATATTCGACCAATTTAGTCATTTATATAACGTTATTTTTTATATAAAAATAAGTAAACATGTCCATTCAAAATATCCCCAATTAATTATTTGTCATGTATTTATTATGATAATATATTTATTTCATTTGAAATTTGAATCTTGAACAAGATAACAAAGACACGTGCTCTGACCAACTGACCAAAGGCAAAATTTCAGCCTCCCATCATCACAGCTTTCAATCCTGCCTCTGAAAAGTTAAAATCCCCTCTTTCATCATATTCATTATTCCAATGTTTCTTCTGCCGTTATCTAGCCTCCTCGTCTTCCCTCCTCATCTTCTCTGTTTAGCTTCGTTCTCTTTCTCTTATCATTTTTTCCTAAAAGAATGATCAGTAAAGAAATTATAAAAATATTAACATTAAATTAAAAATTTTAATATTAAAACATGATAAAAGGAATATTAAAATTTAAAAATATTGATATTAAAAAATTCTAACTTAATATTAATATTCTTACAAGATTTTTGTTCTTTGTTTATCATTGCCCTTTTCCATTATAGATCCATAGTAAGTTTTTTTTTTCTTCGTTAAAAAATATGTGTTTTTTTTTTTCTTTTTCATTCTTTCATTCTTTCCATTTAGTTTTCCTTCTCCTTTTCTCCTTTTTGTTTTTTGGCTGTCCGGTTTCCTTCAATAGACTCCAATGTTGGGTTGAAATTTGGTTCACGGCTCAAAATTCTATTCTAAACAGCTTAACCCGATCTAACTCTTTGAATGGTCCAAAGCTAAAAAATGAGCTGATGAGGTGGTTGGATCGATCTGACCATCTAATCTAGTCTGAGTTTTAAATCACCAGTTAGTACCCTTAAGTAAAATTTTTAATTTCTCTTTTAATTATTACTAAATACTAACAAGCTTAAATGAACCTCTAAACTAATTTCTATTATTAAAATTTTCTTTTTTATTTTATAAATTCACACATAAAAATAATAAAAAATTAAAATTTTAGTCTCAAGTCTAAAATCATCATTTTATAATCATAATAATCTATTCATCATTCCAAATAATTATCTAAACATCAATAAATTAACATATATTTTTATATTTAACAAAAATCTAATCATAGGAGTTTAAAGTTTAACTTATATGTCTCAAATTTAAATCATATCAATAAATTTATATCCTAAAATATTTATTATACTATTAACAACATTAACAATCACATTTATTCATCATAAATTTGTCTCTCTTTCAAATCTTAAAATTTTCACCATTACAAAATTAGAAACTAAAGAAGCTAAATGATTAAGAAATTTTTTTAAAGCACTTATATAATCTTAAAAAGCTTAAATCTTTATTCAAAATATTTTATTATAAAGCTTGAATCAGTTTCCTTTCATCGTTCTCAAGGAAGCTCTATTTTCTCGAGCTTCTATGGCACACATAGAGAGATGAGAAAAGGAAGGGAAAAATGAAAAGAAATAGGGGAAGAGAGTGTCTCCATTTCTCTCCCATCACCCTTGAATAAAAAATTTAATGGTTCAAGTTGAAGCTTTGATAAAATTATTATTTTATTTTAAACAAATTTATATAAATAAATTTAAATTATTAAATTTTAATCTAAATCATTTAAAACTATAACATTTTATTTATATATTTTATATAAAATTAAAATAATAATTTTATAAAAAATTAAATCTAAACTATTAAAAAGTTTTAATTCAAGGGTGATGGGAGAGAAATGAAAGGAAGGAAAATAGAGACACTCTCTTCCCAACAAATAGGGGGTGTGTGTGTTTTTCTTTTAAAAAGTGTGGGCCTTATGTCCTTTTTCCTCCTTCCTCTTTACACTTTCTTTGGCACTATTTATAAAGTAGAGAAATTTTTTTTTATCTTATTTATAAGTCATGTTATTAAATTTTCATTATAAATTTTTTATTTTGCTTTCCATTGAATATTAGAAAGAGAAAATATATTATTAAAATATGTATATTTAATAGGGGCAAAGGTGATAATTTCTTAAAATTAAAGACAAAGTTAATGAGTTTTGAAGCTTTTCTTAGTATTAATAAAATATATTGGAAGTGACTTATAAATAGAACTAAAGTAGTATGTCTTTATATATCAATATCAATATATCATAAAAAAGAAAATAAAAAATTAATCATTTAATCCTTATAGTTTTAACTTAGTTATAACTCAATTTTTAAAATTTTGACTCGATCACAAATCAGTCCCTAAACTTTTTTTTTTTATAATTTAGTCCATAAAATTTCAACCTCTTAAATGTTGGTCCTTGTCTTTTAAAAATAAAAATATAAAGATTAAAAATATTTTAAAATTTATTACTAATATCTTAGATTACTAAACTCTTTTATTATTTGTAAATATTAAAATTTTAAAATATTTTTAATTTTTATAATTCTAACTTTTAAAAGATAGGGATTGATATTTAAGAAGTTGAAACTTTAAGAATTAAATTACAAGAAATAAAGTTTAGGAATTAATTTATAATTAAGTTAAAATTTTAAAAATTAATTTATAATAAATTAAAGTTGAAGAAGTGAGTTATAATTAGATTAAAATTATAAAGACTATATGATTAATATTTTTTTAAAAGAAAACCATTCAACCCATTTCATTTTGTGGCTTGTCATCAGCTTCTCTCACATATTACTGTTTATAGGAACAGTACAGTCTTGAAATAAAGTGTAGGCTCAAGTATTGGGCTTTATGCATTATACGAGGCTTCCTTTTTAATATGGGACTGCGCTTTTGCCCCCTCTTAAGTTTCAAATTTCTGAGACATGACTGTGTGGCTGCTTTTCTAAGAAATCAAAATTGCAGTTACTCTTTTCCCATTTCTTTTCTCCGCGCTTTGCCTCTCTCCTCTTTCGAGAAACGATCCAAAATAGGAACATCACCATTGCCGTTCATCATAGCCAGTTTCCTCCTCCTCTTCATCTTCTTCTTCTCTATCGAAACCGCCAAGGATGATTAAGTTTTAGATCTGGTTATGGGTTTCTCTTTTCTCACTTGGGGTGTTGTCAGATCTGCTTGCATCGCTCTTCACGTCTTTCCTCCCTGTTCTTTGCGTCCTCTATTCATCACCCTCCATTTTTCATGCCTGTCGAACGACATCTGGGAGTAAGTAGATGTGCTTTTGGTGACTTCATATCTACCCTGAGAAGGAAATGAGGGTTTGGTGAGTATCAATTTGCTTGAATCTCCCCCTTCCTTTTGCTGCATCTTTTATGAGGTATGTCCAAGCTTGGTGATTTACTTTTTTATTTTCCTTCCTTTATCTCTTTCATTGCAGTTTGGACTCTTCTTCTCTACTCCTTCATTAACTGCACTTCAGCTTCATATACTTTTTGTTCTTAAATGGATAACATAGGTAAAGGTGAACAAATTTCAATCTTGGATTCTACTTTCTATATGAAAGAGATATCAAAATTAGTGATTGAAAGGCTCATGCTAAAATTGCTTAAAGAAATAATAGTACTCGATTAAAATTTTGATTGAACCTGTTCTTTTCCTTATCCTTTTGGCTATAGAATTTGGATAAGTGACAACTACATAGAAGATAATTAGCAGTCTGAATTTAGGCATCATTGTTTCTTCACCTGCCCTATAACTCTGCAGAGAAATGTGCAATGGTAGCAGAAAGACTGATGAAGGAAAATAAAATGTATAGGAGAAAAAATACATGAGAGAGAGCTTTGATTCAGACTATCTATTGAACCTGCGCCTAACCAGTCACATCCAAGAATATAAAGTAACTATTCTTTTTTTAAAAGAAACCATGCAAACTAAAGCCTAGGCATCGCATCCACTATCATAACAATCTGTAAAACACATTAAAATGCAATGTTAGTATATAAAAAGGCAATGCATAAACATCTCTAATGGCAGAGCAAGATCAAAAAAATGCTAATATTTATTTGCTAAAGTTGATGAGAATTTAATGGTATTTTAGATTATTAAATAGTGAAATTATGATAATAGTTATTTAGGCTAGCAAGTTATCTATTACATGAGGACTAACAATAATGTTAATAGTTATTTACTAAATCAGATAAGATTTTTGAATATATTTTTTAACCGGAGGAAAAATTAAACATTGACTAACAAAACACCGATCTAAAATGGACAGGTATAAATCCAGCAAAAGACTTTTGAATATTTTAGATTATTGATTAGTGAATAAATGGTAATAATAATTTAGGATAGCAAGTTAGTTTCAAGTTGCATGTTTTTTGTTGTGCAAATTAATCCATGGTCTGATTAGGATGCAACTAGATCCAAATACAATTCATAGCTGTATTTGGATGTCAGGTCCTCTTCATGTGATGGCCAAGCAGTATAATCATGACAGCTGAACAGGTACTTTAGTCTCTCTGTAAAAAAGATTGAAGTCATTTCATATTTTCCTTATTTAGATTTTTTCCCACCGTCAATATAAAAGGTTAACTTTTATTGTTACATTATTTTGTTTTATATATTTGAATGAATAACAAGCCACTTACTCTTGCAATTTCTTCAAAACTTCCCCTTGAACTTCTATATTTCTTAATTTGGCCACACGACACCTGGAAGGCATGTTAGACACGTATCCTCTATCAAAAATAAGATAAAGAATGCATACACGCCAACATGAATAATCCTAGAATCCTGTTTACATGTTAAATAAGTAAGTGTGTCTTCAAAGAGAATAAGGAACTTGAATAAAGTGCAAACGTTAACATCCCCATTGTATATTTCTAATATTTTGCCTTCGATCTTGTGAATATTTAATGTTGACCTACTCCTCAATCAGGATAGATGCATGCATCTACAAGGTAAAGTAGATTATTTATACATCTCAATTTTATGCAACATGGTAAAATGTGTTATACCCATGTCAGAAAAGCTGTATTAGTCCAGACTGCGGCTGATCTTTATTTTGAAACTCTCTATAACTTGACCTTATTTGTGATAAAAGCTTCATCAAAGAACATGACAGGCCGGCTGATAGGTCTTCAGTAGAGATTCTTCCAAGAAAACTAAAAGCTAAATGGAAGTGCCTAATTAGTTTGTTCTCAGCTGTAGGGTCAACTATGACTAGACAAATCATGAGCTATGAATTCCTAATGCCCCATTTGGTATGTTGAAACTGATTTTGATGAAAATGAAAATGGAAATGGATATGGAGATTGATATTGAAATGGAAATGGAAATGAGGTTTAAAAATATGTTAGGTATGTATATAAAATTTTGGTATAAAATTTATTGAAAAGACCAAAATATCCTTATTGAAAAACTACTTGCAAAAACCCATATCACCAATAGAATAGATCAAAAATGAAACAAAACTAGAAAAATAAGGGATCCTGGATCGTCTTCAGAAAACAATATCCTTGGAAGAAATGACAAAGCTAAACATAAAAAAAAAGAGTTTGAATATATGCAAGATTGACTTTGTAAGCATCAAAACTTAAAAAAAAAGAGCAAGGCAACAGATTTGGAAAGAAAAATCAAAGAGGCAAAAAATCAAAGGCCAAGATCCTGCTTCAGCCACAAAGAAAGAGAATATCTTGGACTATCTTTGCGATTTGCATCTTCCCGTCCAGCAAAAAGGGGAGCAGATAGCAAGTCAGAATGCGACCTTATCTGTTATTGTTGAATCGAAGATAAAGGGCAAGACAGTGGTGGAGGTTGCTGTCACTGTCTCAGAGCTAGACGTCATCGGTGCTGGTTGCTGGAGGTTGACGGTGTTCAGATGTTCACCAGCTGTGGGGGAGAAGATAACCTACAATTTCTGAGAAGCAAGCGATAGGAAGAAGATGAGATTAGAAGGGTAAAAAATAAAAAAGAAAGCATGGAATTCTAAAACTCAAATATTATGATGGAAATCAATTCCATTATTTTTGATGGAAATGGCTTCCATATTGAATTGATTTACATCATACCAAACAAGCCAAAATTTCATTTCCACCATCAATTCCATTTCCATCCTCCTCAATTCAAGCATACCAAACAGACCCTAAGTTGTTTTAATTCAGACTACATATGTTCATTTTTGTTTCTTTCATAGGTTGCAGCTGCTTTTAACTTTTCTCAATGCCTCCTCTTAAGGCTGATGAAACGAAAAAGGAGCCACCATTTTCAATGACCCCATAAAAGACAAAGGCTTAGCACCTATTCAATTGTAAAATAGAAACTACGGGTCACTACTTCTGAAAAGACTTATTGTTTTCAGATCTAATTTTTTTCCATATGTGGAATTCTTATAAGAAGAGGCAAATTAGAAAAGAATGCAAGAAAGAGATTTATCATTTCCAACCACTTAACCTGAGCTATTATTATTTAAGAGCCTTGGGACAAGTTGTCAACGGCTGTTTTTTGCCTAATTCGATGCTAAAAAATTATTTTCTCTAAGAACCCTTTAATATATAATACTGTAATGCTCCTGCATAAGTAATAGAAGTTTTTAGACTTAAATTTAATTCTGTAAGGTAAAAGTTAAAGTAATGCAGCCTTGTCAAAATGTTAAACTGCTGATTGAACCCGAGATACTAATGATAGTGCTTTTTTAATATTTATTGCTCTGTCAATCAACTTTTGAAATGTGTTAGTTAAACACTTTTGCTCTCAAATAAAATTTCCTTGCTGCAGAGTTTGGTTCATTAGCAACCTCTAAGGAAAACATTGGACACAGTTAAAGAACTTGGATAGATGCCTTCAATCAGTGGATGCGGTGCTGATAAAGGTATTCATGAACTTAGGGGCCTTAATCAAAACTTAAACTGCTGATTGAACCTATGATACTAATGACAATGCTTTTTTAATATTTATTGTTGTCAGACAACTTTTGAAGTGTATTAGTTTACCTTTTTGCCTCCAGCTAATGTGCCATCACATTTGCATTTAAGGAAAAGTTTTTCAGCTTTTGCTCAACTAAAGCCCAATGCAACTGGAACTAAGGGAACTAAATTTTTATACACGTTTGTTGCATATTTAGGTACTTGTCTGAGAAGAAGGAAGAAGCTGCGTCCAAGTAAATGGATGTTGATTTTGTTGGTACTATGCAATCTTAACAGAATACTCTGCCCAATAGAGTAGAGTAAAGCTGCATTTTGCCTTTGATAATCCAAACTCAACAATGAGTATATTGTTGTTGTCATAGCAGTTAGTACCTTGAATTTTCTTAACTAAGTATTAAGTATGTGTCCAACAATTTTCTTAAATTGTTGTTATAGCATGTCACAGATATTGTGAAAAGAGCTCTTAGCTGTCCTCTAAAATTTATTGCCACGAATGCTGCGAACCTACTCATATTAGGCCTTTTAGAACTACTGCCTCTACATAGCTTTCATCTGACAATTTTGCTTTTGCAAGAAAGGAAAAAAGGTTATCCATCTCAAGCAAGTGAACTTCAAATAAGGTGGGCTAAAGTCGAAAAGAAAAGTGTAAAGTCAAATTTCTAAAATTTTAATTTATCAAGTGTTCTGTTATGTAAGGTTTTATACTTTTGCTTCCATCTTATGTTCACACTTATTCATGTTTTATTGTCGAAGGGAGGGAAGGAGAGATAGACAAGAGGGGTTTCTTTTTGAGTCTTCATTCCATTCTTTTGCCTAATCTATTAGTTTTTTTGGGAGAATGACAATTAAGGACCTTCTAAGAATATTAATTTCAATTATGGACTGTGAAATTTTGAAATCCTAGTTAAGGACTATGGTCCTTAATTGTGATAAAAAAAAAATGTAATTTGTGATGTGAGATTCACTAACGCAACTTGGGAATTCATTAACTTAACTTAAAAAAATTACTAATGTATTTGCTTAGATAGTCTTGATGGAGTAGATTTAAAAAATATTGTACCAGACATTGTTCAAGGTGTAGGAAGGATGAATGAGTTGATTAGCTTGTGTGCCTTGGTTCTGATTCAAATTTAGAATGCATTGTAGATGCAACTTCTCATAATGTTGATTTGTTTTAAGGAGAAACTTTGTTTCCAAAGGTAATCAAGCTAATATTGTAGTCTTTGACCAATTTGAAAGAAGTTTGGCGCCGTCCACCTTTACTTTTCTTCTTTGAGAAATTGCAAGAATTGCATGTATCTAATTGTCCTATGTTGACATCACTCTTCCTAAAGTGTGTTGTCGAAGCTATGCTATGGTTACAAAAGGTAACTACAGTAAGTTGTGGTGAACTGAAGAATATAACAGACGAGGATGGTGGTATCAGCAATGAAATAATTTCAACTTCAAACAATGCACATCCAGTGTTCTCACAATTGAAAAGTTTGACCATCTCTAATTGTGACAAGTTAGAATATGTATTCTCAAACTCTCGTGTTCAAGGCCTTGTGCAGTTGGAGGAGGTGTGTATTGAAAGGATGTCTCAACCAAAATATGCTTTTGGTCAATATGAGGATAATCATCAAGAGGTTCAGATCAAGCTTCCTTTTCTAAAATTACTCAAACTAAGTACTTGAAAAATTTGCTCAGCATTTTACCGAAAAACTATCATTCAAGTTGCCCATCTTTGAGAGAATTTTATTGGGTGGGGTGTCCCAAATTCCAAGCTTCATGTGTTAACATCATGGTTGTTTCAAATATAAATATGGTATGTATTTCCTTGTGTCTTCTATTATTTGATAGAACTTTCATTGTTGTGTTTATAATATCTATGAAAATAATGCAAAAAACTAAGGTGGCTATCTTATTTTGATTTGCTAAATGTTTTAATTGCAGGGCCACAAGGCATACAGTGAGGTTTCAGTTCTATCATCATTTCTCAATTTAGAGAAACTTGAGGTGAATCAAGGTGGTACAAAAGACATAATATTTATTTGTACGAAAACAAATTCCAAAAACAAATTAATCTCACCCTTAGACACTCTGACATTGAATAATTTGCCTGAGCTGAAGTATGTTTGGAGTGGTTTGACGGGAACACTGAGCCTCCAAAATCTTAGAGAATTCAGAGTGAGTGGATGCAACAATTTAAGGACTATTTTCTCCCCGATAATTCTAAGAAGCATGCAACTGTTAGTGGGCAATAGAGATATTCTCATGTATAAAGTTAAAGGAGCTGTTTGGACGTAGCAGTAAAGCCAGCAGTGACTATGTCAATGAAATCGCGCTTCCAAACTTGAGAGGCATATATCTGTCGAAATTGCCAAGTCTTGTTGATATCTGCAATGGATTCAAGTTATACGCTATGAACCTTGAACGAATTAGTATGGAACAATGCCAAGATTTTCTTCAATCATGGGGGCAATTGGGAGAATATACACTAGAATAAAGACAAAGGTAAGTTGCATTCTTCATGCATGTATGGACGGTAAAAATAAAAATAAAAATGAATGGTGTTTGAACACTTATTGTAACATGTTAGAGCCTTGAACCACTTCTACCCAGTATTAAACACCTGAACAATGAATATAGATGGTCAAAATTAATCATTTATTTAATTTGTTAAATGTGTTTAGGCTCCCCTTCTTTTGTTACTTCATTAATGAGCTTCATTTGTGCTTTCTATAGGAGGAAGCAGAGACTCATAAGAACAACGGCAGTTAACTGCTTGATCAACTCCCATATTTGTTCCCAGAAGACTTGACTTCAAAGGAATTAGAGTTACAAAAGCTAAGTGAGTTGAGTTTCATATGCAAGGCTTTCAGTACACCCTCCCAAAATTTGAGCTTCCAAAATTTGAGTTTCCTATAGGTTATTTGCTGTACCCTATAGGTATACAAATGTTTAATGCATTATTTTGTATGGACTTTTATATGAGCTAAATCTTTATGGTATTTAAGCCTTCTTGGTGCATAATTATAGTTGCATAATTGATAATCACTTATTGAAAAATTCTTTTATAATCATGTTGTGCACGCATAATTAATATTTCTCATTTTCTATTTTTTGATTTCAGTTTCTGTTTTTGTGCAACTATCCTTTGTGAAGGCTTTCAATGGGACTAACTATGATGATTGCAAAGAGTCCCTGAATATGTATCTTACCATTTCTGAGAAAGATTTAGCTCTGAGAGAATCCAAGCCTGCGGATCTCTTTTTTGAGTCTAGTGCTTCTGAAATGGCCTTCCATAAACAATGCAGTAAGTCTAACCGAATCTGTCTAGCGATCATCAAGTACACAATTGAAAAAGAAATTTGGGACAGCATTCCTGAAAAGGATACTACAGTGGAATACTTGAAAGCTATTGGTAATAAATACAAGAAGCTTGACAAGACTCAAAGAACTATTATTTATTACTTCTTGAAAATACTCGATATGATAGAGTTTTTAGTGTCAGGAAGCATATTCTAAAACTTGTTCATTACTATAACAAGTTTAAATCATGTGGAATTGACTTGGCTAAAAGTACCTTAGTTTACTGTGTTCTTCAATCACTGCCATCAGAGTACACATTCTTGAGGACTTCATACAGCTCACAAGAAGCTGAATGGTTTATTGACCAGATGATATCAATAGTCACTCAAGAAGAGGAAGCTATAAAGAAGAATCCTTCTCACTCAGTAAACTATGTTTCTCATGACTCTAGCAGCAAATCTGGAGGGTTATATAAGAAAAAAGGGAAGAAGCATGAGGCCCTAAAGCCTAATAATCTAAGTTTTAAGAAGGATGGTGATAAGAGTAAGAAGCTGAGGAAGAAACCCTTTAAGGGTTTATACTATTATTGCAAGAAACCAGGTCACATTAAAGCTAATTGCTTCAAATTGAAGAACAAACAAGAAAGTGAAGGTATAATTCTTCAAACTACTCCTCTAAGTCTAGTTTGTTTTGAGTCTAACACTATTGAAACTTTCTTTGACTTATGGTGGCTGGATTTTGGTGTCATTGTACATGTTGTGAATTCTCTATAGGGGCTAAGAAACTAGAAGGTTCTAAGTGAGGCACAAAGGTTAGTTTTTGGCATAGCAAGGAGCAAAGCATTAGTTGAATGCATCGGAAGTATTTCTTTGTATTTAAATTCTAGTCATGTTTTAAATTTGAACAATGTTGTTTATGTACTTTTTGCGAAAAGGAATTTAATTTCAACTTCTGTATTGGATATTTATGGCTAGTCATTCTTTTAAGGAAATAGGAAAATTGATATTTGTTTTGATTTCATTAATGTTGGTTATGCTTCCTTGATATATGGTTTTTCTCGATTGAATGATTGATTACTTGAACTTCCTAATCTCTATATTAATGCTGCAATTGGGCATAAATGTCAAAGGCCCAATGATAATTCCTCTATGTTATGGCATCGTCGTTTGGATCATATCTCTAGAAAGAGGTTGGAGTGCATGGCCGAGTAAGGTGCCTTACAAAACCTTGATTTTTTAGATTTTGAGACTTATGTTGATTATGTAAAGAAAAAATTCCCTGCTAGAGCTAGAATCAAAGGGGCAAAGAGGTTTAAAAATAGCTTAGACTTAATCTATACTGATATTTGTGGACCTATTACACCTCCAGCTATGGGTGGTTTCAAATATTTTATCACCTTTATAGATAATTACTCTCGTCATGGATGGATTGAACTCTTGCGTGAAAAAGACAAATCTCTTAATACATTCAAGACCTTTAAGGAAACAGTTGAATTAAATCTGGCAGGTTGATCGAATGTGTGAGATCTGATAGAGGAGGAGAATTTTATAAGAGATATACTGAGATTGATAGGAACCCTAGGCCATTCGCTTTGTACCTTCAAGAGCATGGCATTGAAGCGTAGTATACTATGCCTGGCACCTCGCAGTAGAATGGGTTTGCAGAAAGGCATAATCGTACTCATGAATATGGCTACAAGCATGATCGGTCACTCCTCACTGTCAGAATTCTTGTAGGATGATGCATTTAAAACTACTGTTTATATTTTAAATCAAGTTCCTAGTAAGTCAGTTCCAAAGACTCCATGAGTTATATTTTGGAAGGACTCCTATATTAAAGCATATGTGAGTTTGGGTTGTAAAGTACAAGTAAAACCTTACAATCCACAACAGATGAAGCTTGATGCTAAAACTGTTGATGGTTTCCTTATCAGCTATTGCATTGGATCTCATGGGTACAGATTCTATTGTCCAAATCACACTACCAGGGTTATTGAATCTGACCAAGCTTATTTTTTGAAGATGCCTTAGATAGTGGGAGCTTTGTGCCTGGGTATATCACTTTATATGACAAAAGTAGTATTTTGTCTATGCTTATCATGACAACCCCTTATGTTGACATAAATAATGCCATGGATCAGGATAAAACTAAAGATGAACTATCTTTAGAGGGTGATGAGGATCTGGTTGTTGAACCAAGACGGTCTCAAAGGGTTTGCAGGTCTGTTATTTCAAATAATTATATGGTGTATTTGCAGGGAATTTGATTCAAATGCTATTGATAGTTTAAACTCAATATCTTATTAAGAGGCTATTTCTAGCTTGCATTTTTCTGAATGGTTGGAGGCTATAAGTGAAGAAATCGCTTCTATGTACCACAATCATGTATAGGAGCTTGTAGACTTACCAAAGAGTTTTAAACCAGTGTGTTACAAGTAGGTCTTTAAAATGAAACGAAGAGCTATATGTGAAATTGATAGATACAAAACCAGACTTGTAGCTCAGGGCTATATAACCAGAAAGAAGGTATTGATTATACAGAGACCTTCTCTCCGATATCCACCAAAGATGCTTTTAGAGTGGTAATGGCTTTAGTTGATCTTGATCTTCACCAGATGGATGTCAAGACTGCATTCTTGAATGGCAATTTGTATGAAGAAGTCTACATGACACAACCTGATGGTTTTGTTGAATCTAATAAATAACATCTAGTGTGCAAATTAAAGAGATCCATCTATGGGCTAAAATAGGCCTTCAGGCAGTGGTATTTGAAGTCTAATGAAGTTATCACCTCACTCGATTTTGTTGAGAATGTCTTAGATCAGTGTATCTATCAAAAGTTTGATGGGAACAATTTTGCCATTCTTGTTCTTTATGTTGATGATATCTTGTTAGCCAGTAATTCAATGGATTTCCTCAATGAGATAAAACACCTATTGTCTAGCCATTTTGACATGAAGGATATAGGTGAAGCCTTCTTCATTCTTCGAATACAAATTCATCATGATAGATCTCGTGGTATTCTTGGTTTATCACAGACCACCTATATTGAGCGGATACTTAAAAAATTTAGAATGGATTCATGTTCTCCCTTACCTACTCTTGTTCAGAAAGGTGAGTTATTGTTAAAGTTACAGTGTCCTAAGGATGATAAGAAGAGGGCTGAAATGAGAAAGATACCATACGCTTCTGCTGTTGGTAGCCTTATGTATTTTCAAGTATGTATTTGGCTAGATATAACCTTTGCCATTAGAGTGTTAGGTCAATATGTAAATGATCCAAGTCTGAATCATTGAAAATCTATTAACAAAGTTATGAGGTATCTTTAAGGTATGAAGAATTATATGTTGACTTATAGAAGGTCAAATTATCTTATAGTTATTGGGTATTCTGATTATGACTTTAAGCGATCAAAAGATTTTGAAATTGTTGGCTTTTTAGATTTAGATTTTGCGTTTTGTCTGGATAACTGTAAATCTATGATCGGCTACATTTTCATGTTGTATGAAGGAGCTATTTCTTGAAAAAGTGTGAAACAGACACTTACAACAGTTTCATCTATAGAAGCTGAGTATATTGCTTGTTTTGAGACTACAAATCACGCTATATGGCTGAGGAAGTTGATATTTGGCATGCGCCTAGTCGAGTCAATATCATGTCCTCTAACCATTTACTGTGATAACAAATCTGCAATATATTATGCTAATAACCATAGAAATTTCAGTCGTACAAAGCATTTTGATATCAAGCTTATATTTGTGAAAGAGAAAATTGCTGAGTTTCAAACCCATATGGCACACGTTCCTGGCATGTAGATGCTTGCAGATCTATTGACTGAGGGCTTACCTGTAGAAGTTTTTCAAAATCATGTAATTGGTATGGATATTGTGAATTCTTTTCATCCCTGGTTTAGTGGGAGTTTAAGAACCTTTTGTATTATAATTTCTCTTTAGGCTTTGTTTTTTTCTGTGAGTTATGTTCAGTTCAGTTAGGTGCATTTATATCATTTGTATCCCCATAGGATTCAATGATTTTATTGTGGTATACTATGCATGTCACTCGTTTCCCCATAGGAATCAGTAATTTATGTTATTATCTTACTGAGCTATGTTTGAAATAAAATTTCACATTTTATTCAGAGATGAGATATTATATCACTTGTTTCCCTATATGATCCAGTGAATTTATGAAGTTTCATTTTTCAAATTTTTGTTTGTGGCTTGCTTATATAAGTTGTTTAATTAATGCAATCCAAATGGGAGATTGTTGGAATATTTATTTATAGATTAACATTAATTAGTAAGCCCAAACAGATTGGTCTTTATGATCTTGTGTGGATCGTGATAGGTGGACCACACAAGTGAGCCCAATGGGCAGAGGCCTAATCCACAACCTAGTAGCCATCAGTTATTTTCTATCTTTTAACTGACTGAGTCAAAGATAATGGAATATAATTATTTAATTATTTAATAAAGCGATTACTGATCTGATCCTTATAAGTCGATCAGTTAATAACCACAAACACATCATATATCTTTTCTTCCACTCTATTATCTGTGTATTCTCTGAAAACTTTGGGGTCCAGTGGTTTATGCGTCTGTCTACACTAGAAGTGATCGAGGTATCTCTGGTAAGCGATCATGGATTCTTCAGGTACACATATATTACTTTATCCTATTTCTGAACACTGTATTTTGTTCGGGTTTTTTTTTTAAATTTAATAAAAATAATAATAAATAATTAAAAAATATAACAATATAAAAATGAAATTAATCCTTCTAAGGATTATATTTTTAAAATAACAATAATCTAACAAAAAAAATCTTTCTTAAATTTTTAAAAATCTCTCTCAAATTATCTCAATCATCCAAAGATATCGGGAATCAAATTTTAAAACCCAATTATTTCTCTCTCCTTGAATTTTGTTAAAAAAAATAATAAAATATGTAAACATATGTATATTCTTAATTTGATTTCAAACGAAATAATATTTAAAAAAAAGGGCTATGCCATAGCCAAAATCATTTCCTTTTGGCGGTCAAACACTAGAGAGGACAATCACATGTAGAGAAAGAAAGCAGAAGAAGCATGTATGATAGAATAGAAGAAAAGAAACAGAGACGGCAAGACGAGAGACCAGACGTGACAGAAGAGAAAAAAGGAAGCAGAACATGCGAACGCACAGAGATGAAAACTAGAGTAGCAGACCAGGGAGAAGAAAATGCAAAGAAAGAAAATAGAAGGAGCACACACGACAAAGTAGAAGAAAAAAATAGAGATGGAAAAGACAGAAGAGAGACGAAAACATAGAGTAGAGAAAAGAGTACTAGTCACACAGAACAAGCTAGAGACGAATGCCAGATGCAGAGAAGACCAGACGAGAGGAAGGAAAGAAAGCAGCTTGGCCAGGCGTAGAAGAAGAGCTACACAGAAATAAAAACCAGAACAAACGAATGCGGCAAATAGTAGATGACAAAGATGAAAATGCAGTGGAAGAGAAGGAAAAGCAAGAAGCAGAGCAGGTGAGTAATCATTCTTCCCTTCTATTCTCTATATAAGGTTGGAAAAAGTAAAAACAGGGGGGAGAAGAGAGAGAGTCTGATAGAAAAAAAGAGAATAGAAAATAGAGATGGAGAGACGGAGAAGAGAGTCTGAGAGAGAAAAAAGAGAATAGAAAACAAAGCATAAAAGATGGAGAAGATAGGAGCAAGGGACCGAGAGAGACGAGCTTTTTTTTTTGGAAAAAGGAGAGATTGGAGAGGAGGAGCAAGAGATCGAGAGAGACAAGCTTTTTTTGAAAAAACAGAGACTGAGAGAGGGAGAAATAGGGATGAAAAAAATGTAAAAAAACAGAGACGTCTGAGAGTCTGAGAGAGAGAGCTTACTAGAAAAACAGAGAGGGAGAAATAGTGATGACCGAGAGTCTGACGAGAGATACAGATGAAAAGAGAAGAAAATGCCAATCACGGGATGTAAGAACAGAGCCAGAGACACAGAACGAAGAGAGCACTGATCTAAGACAAAGAAAAGAGAAACGAAGAG